GAATTGTAACATTGAGAGCAAATGCATGATGTTGAGCTGCCAAAGGCCAAAGCTCAACCGGCAAACCACTTTGAAACAGATTTGCTCTTGCTCCCTCCAGAATAGTGCGAATCTCGCGCTCGATCACCCCGGAAGATTGACTGACATATGGCTGACTCAGCACGTGTCTCCAACCCATACTCTTTACTGCAGCTGCAATCTCGCCAGAATTGTCAGAATAGAAAATCCCAACATGATCATCTGGCTTCGTGAAATGTTGAAATGCACGAACGCAACTGTCAGCATCTTGCCTTGCTGAAGGGTAAAAATACCGGAACTGCGTGAACACATCTTTCACGACCAAAGCATTCCACTCGCCCTTGAACCCGTACGTCTCATCATTTGAAATGACGTGGTCAGCAGTCACATGATCTCCAAATGCTTTTGCATCCACCGAAGAAGATCCATGTCTGCGACGAGCCTGAGGTGCTTGCATCTTTGATCGCACACACGTTTCGCAAAAGGGGTTCTTGGGCCTGTGAGTGAAAAGATGCTCTTCACTTTTGGCCTCACGCATCATCATTTCTTTTGAACGCTTTGACATCGGTTTTGGAGCTTTTTCAACCTCAGGGTTGTCCTCCAATTCCGGATCAAACTCCGGTTCCAGCGGTTCAGCTTCATCAGGGCGCAATGGAAACGATGCAGCATCCGGCGGAGGTTGCCCTCCGCTTGAAGATGAAGGCACTTCAACGCCCCCGATCTTCTGATCGGATGCAGCAAGAGCAACAGGCATAGCTGATTCAGAAGCTATGACCTCGCACTGATCGTCAACATAAGGAACTCGCCCATCGAGCTTCAATATTACCGCTTTCCCGTCAGGTCGAACAAAGTACGGAGCACTGTTCTTTCTCCATACGAAATCGTACCCCTTTTCCAAACATCTTTGACCAACAGAAAGTACAGCTGGTGTGCTCGGCAAAACATACGGAGTGACGACCTCGTTCAACTGATCAATGGAGAAGTCCGCAATCTTGTCTGCACAAATTGATCCATTTGCTGTTGAAAGATTGATTGGAGTCAATGCAGGATTAATCTTCTTTTGAAGTGTAACTGCACGCTCAGAGTCAACCAGATCTTGTTCACTACCTGTGTCGACAATCCACTGACGAAGCCCTGCTGGTGCTGGCGTAGCAATGTACTCCGGCACATCGTCAAGGTTCGTTTCATCATCATCAATCCAACAGCCAGGACAATACAAACCGCAATAAATTGGGTCATTTTCATCATAGTATTCGCAATAGAACCCACAAGGCGCGTTGTAGTTTGCATGCATCAAGTCAACAACCCCTTCCAGAATCAAAGCTTTGTCTTTAGCATCGCTCAGATCCATGGGATTTGAGCCAGGCGCACAACCATCATACCACACAACCTCAGGGTCATTCGGCTTTGGAGCACATGATAGGCATAGCCCATTGGCCTCGATCTCGACGATCTCGACATTGTCTGCGAATTTGACGCATCTGCGGGTATTGGAAACATCTGTACTGCAAATGAAAATTGTTTGCCCAGTCCAGTATTGCTCCAAACCTTCATCAGGATCCGCCCAGAAATCACCAAACACTTGCTCTTTGCCATTGATGTTGGCTTTGGTGATGCGCTGATCCAATAAACGTTCCAGCGAAATCGGAAGGTCTTTTGCACTCTTCGGATCATAAAGCGCTTTTCGAGGCATCACATGGTGTCGAATGATCATCTCGTTCACCGAGTCAACTTCCCAGAAATCTTGCTTTGGGCGGCATGCCGCGAGGCATGCATTGGTCTCTTTCACCCTCAGACACACAGCGGCTGAGGACTCGCCCTTTTTGCTCTGGGATCGCTTTCTCCCTTTTCCCTTTGGGGTGGGAGACCTACCTCTGCTGGCTCCTTTCTTCGGGCTCGGCTTATCTGTTGCCGGTGCAGCAGACCGAGTCTCATGCGAAAACGCACAGTTGTCTCCGCGAGTGCAATTCCCCTGACCGCCTTTGAAAAACCTGCACGGGATCTTTTTCAGCTCCGCTCTCTTTCTCGATGCCGACCGATCCCTGTCTCTCCCCTTGCTGTCAGAGCGCCCCCGACCTTTTCCTTTTGGATTTTGGCTCGGGGGTCTTGGGTCTTTCTCATGCTTGTAAATGCAATTATCCCGAGTGCACTTGCCTTTCTGAAAATCATAGCAATACCTGACCGCTGACGGATCTCTTGCACGCCCAGGATTTGCATTGGGAGCTGGAGCACCGACCTTCTGATTGTGAGCTCGAGCAACACGATCACGATTTGACTGCAATCGCTCCCGAGTCAAAACATCACGAACGGCTTGAACAAGAAACTCGTAGCTCTTGTCATACGACCCATCTTTTGCACGCTCGTATGTATCGAGGTCATACTTGATCTTGTGACATCCACGAATCTGTCGCAAGAAAATGTCCTTCAAGACGTGCTGCTCCGGAACGATCTTCATGCCAGCAATGACGGAATCCCAATTCTGAATAAAGGTCATCAAATCATTGCCATGAAGCACCACCTTCAACAAATCTTCAGTGGAATACAACGCTCCGGCCTCCTCATTCGTTCTGAAATACTGCTCAAACATGAGAAGAACTTGACGTCCACGGACAACTTTGTCCAAAGCAGCTTGTTGCTCCTTGTAGGTGAGGATCTGCCGACTAAGGTCGCCCCTAGCAATCCGCGACAAGGCCGCAAGAAGCTTTGTATCCAACGTTTCAAACTGCTCTGGATCTCCTAGCTCTAACATGAGATTCTTCTTATCCTCCCGGTTGACGTACACCTTGTTAACCCAGGTGAATGCAGCATCAGGCCGATCTGAAGCAGCCCGAATTTCTTCGCGAGTAGCCGTTTTCCAGGCTCTATAGGTCTCAGGAGTGGGAAACTCACTCAGCCTCAGCGAATCGGCTTCCTTTGCTTTCGGCCGATCATGCTGATTCCGGACGAAGCCGAGGAGGGCCGCACGGAACTCCGCCTCAGTGGTCTCGGGACCAGTCAACCGATCAATGTTCGGCTGATTTTGCTGACTTCGGCTGTTCTCTTGCTCCGAAGACCGTCTCGCATGATCTTTGATATCAAACTGCATTGCACCAGAAATAGGATCAGTCCAACTCTGCTGTGGAATAATCTGTGGCATAGTTCCAGAAGTTTGTGCATTCTGCGTTGGAAAAAGACGCGGATCATCAAAGATACTTCCCCTCTTATCGAAAAACGACTCCGAACTGACGTTCTGTACGCTTGACGCAGGCTGAGGATCTCCGCGCACCATTTCCCGCTGCGCCTTTTCGAGATCGTTCCTCAGACGCTCAACGGTGTCGTTCAGCCCGTTGATCGTGTCCTGCATGGCGTGATTCTCCGCCAAAATACTGTCTCTCTGCTCACCGACCGCCTTCTCCGAGTTCTCCATCACAACAGTCTCAGCATGTAAGCTTTGTGCGAAAGCGCTATACTGTGCCGTTCTTTGCGACACAGCTTCGTTCACTTCGGCAGAAATTGCTCCCCGCATCTGGCCAACCTGGGCGTTGAAGAAAGCGCGAGCCTCTGCGAACTGCTCGTGCAGCTCAAGGGTCCGACGGTTGTTCTCCTCGTCCAGGCGATGCACAGTTTCCGCCAAATGAGCGCTATATTCCGCCCTTGTAGCATCCATAGCAACGCGATGTAACGTGTTGGCTTCTTCCCTAACAGCGTCACCCGTGTCGTTATGCACATGCATAATGTTCTGGGTGGCTTGGTAGTTTGTCGCGAACCCGAATATGTTTCGAGGATCGCGAGGGTCAACAGGACCTGTAGGTGCAACTGCACCATCACCACCATCACCAACTTCTCCAGATATATTGTATATAATGGGCAAATCTCCGGATGCCATGGCGATCTTTGTACAAGCCTTTACGGCTGATAACCTGTGTTATCAAGCCTAGGCCACCTAAGGTAATACCTAGGCAAGCAGCAAACCGTTGACTACTTTTCACACTGCTGGTAGTGCTATTGAAGTCTGTAGCGGCGGAGCATGTACAAGGTACACTCATGCACAGGGTTGGAACCTGAATCCACAGGTGCATTGGCAAAAAAAAAGGAAGCTTGGATCGAGCTTGTTATTTGCCACTAAAATGATCCAAACCAGGAACTCGGGGAGTAAGGTGAGTAACCATCAATGGCATACCCAACTAATAGGTGCAGTTTGCACACGTTTGAGTGTGGGTCACAAAGGATACCGCTTTTATAGGGGCTTAAAATGGGACCCACAAGAAAAACTGACCATTTGTTGGCTGCATACATACAACCACTGCAATGTAGCCACGATTTGAAGGATGTAGCGCAGATCCCATTTCCCCTCGCGGGTTTTAGCAACCATCTAAGGATGTCTAAGGGCTCAACTAGAATGGGGGGAGGGAGCATTTCCCAAATAACAGCCACGAATCGCATTTAGTTTGCCCAGCAACCCCAATAAGGGAAAGAAAACGACTTCTGTGGGTGGAGCATTTTTTCCCCAGCCAAACTGGAGCTTGAGATAGGTGCCACAGAACCAGCGGGCATGTCCTTCCAGAGTATGGAGAGTGGACCAAGACTTTTGGGCTCTGTGGGTTGGGCCAAAGACAGGCACTCAGAGTGTAAGCCCCGAAATCTGAGGGGGGGGGGGGAATGGCACGGTGATACAAACCAAGCTTCCATTTTTTGACTAGTACACCCAGGTGCTTTTTGTTGTGGAGATCAACCAGGCGCTGGGCTTCAATCTGACAAATCAAAAAAGCCCAGGTGGCACCCCCGACAGCCAATCCTCCCCTGCTCTGGAAGACTCCGGAGGCAATCTCGCAGAGAAGAAGGGGAAACTTTGAGAACCCACTGGCAGCAGTGACACTCGGTTGCTTTCTGCGAAGCCCTGCTAAAAGCTTAACTTTTAGTGGTTTAATGGGAAGCCCGTTAGTTGGCCGAAAGTTGAAGTCCTAACATCCAAGCAAAATGCACCAAAGCACAGACCCAGGCACTTGACCCACTGAGCGCCACCAGCAAGCGCCGCTGCAGCTGACCCGCCGCAGCCCTCAGCGCCTTCTCCGCCGCTTCCCCTGACGGCCGCTTGGGCGTCCGTTTTGAGGGAAACGTTCAAAGGGTTAGACTACGGGAAATTCGACCGGAAAACAGCAAATTCAGGGCGTTTGGGGGGCCAATCATGTAGATTTGTTCGTGTAACCAAACCCTTTGAAAGAATAGGTTCCCATTTTAGGAATGGTGCATGGAAACAAGGACTCAAACCTGTGGTCCCCTGGTGGTATGATTTTGACCCATAACGGGCCCTTGAATTTCAGGGCTGGCTGGGGTCCGCCTCGGGGGGGAAATTTGGAAAAGACCAATTAGAAGGTAAGCCACACGGTGTTTTTTTTTATTTAATTAAAGTGAGCACTGGAAGTGCCACTTGAGATCTGGTCGTGGGGTCACGCCCCTCTTTGGGAGCTCGCCCTTTCGCGTTCCTTTCGTTTTCTCTTTCGCAGATTTCGTCTGAAACTCGGATTTTGTCGCCGCAACTCCAACACACAACAACTGCTCTCTTGCCACCAACAGCAAGGAGACCAACAAAAACACATAATGTATTCGTCATCAGCTTTCGCTATACTTGCAGTCCTTTTGCGTTCCTTTTGCCATGCAAGGTCTCCGGGTCTCCCTTTATCACTAGCTTTTCAGGACCACACTGTACATAATCAAGTCTTGCAATTTGGCGAACGGCCCCCAACCCTGCCCTTTGACAAGGGTTTCTTCCCACGCGGCTACATGATTTCTTGGTGGTTTGGTAGCAGGGCAAAGGTAAATCGGAGTTCCTGATAGAGCCACGGGCAAACATCAACCAAACTACAATGTCCTTACAGAACTGAAGCCAAGCCCACAGCTATCGCGACCTTGGGATCTGAAACCATCTTTGAAGATATCCGCGAGATGGTGGGAACCAGAGCTTCGATTGGCATGGCTTTCCTGGGTCCAATTGAATACGACATCGTCAAACAACTCATCCTGAGGTGTTCTGCCTTTTCAATTGACTTTACCTCCAATAGGGAAAACCGCCCCTAAGCACTATAGGACCTCAGGCTGGTCGATCACGCAACAAAATCAGCTCCCTCTTGACCTCCAACATTCCCTCAAAGCATGCCCTGGAACCCATCAAGGGCATGCGGGGAATAGCAAATTCAGTGAGACCAAGACAGACCATGCCCAGGACAACTTTGTCACTTCACGGAAGGTTCCCTATGTAAAACCCAAGCCGACTTTCGCATGCCACAGTGCCGTCCCTCACATCCAAACCGTTGCGCACCTTTGGGGTCCTTGTCCCTAAAAAGGAAGAGGATCGGCCGTCCATCGCTGAAGAGCTCTGCAGCCGTCTCCTTGGCCGATCTCCCCATCTGATTCGAAGATACGGATCAAACACCAGGGATGGCACAGGCCCCCCATCCCCGCCCAAACAGTCTAACTTGGAGGCAAGTGGGAAAATCCAATCACTTTGTCAAACAGCTTGAAGGTTACAGCCCCAACTTCATGATGTTCGAGCCAACGGATCCCCCACCAACGGGCTAACAAACAAACCTCCATGACCCTCGTCCCACAAACCAGTCCTACCGGTTGGAGGGTTGAGTCCCGTTTCACACCCGTTTCACAGGCAGTCCGTCCGAGCCTTTTGGGCTTTCTCATAAGACATCCCCGTCGATTCGTTCCTTTTTCACCAGGTTGATCCGTCCGGGGTCAGGATTGGTGGTGGAATTGTAGATCAACCACTGGAAAGACTGAGACCCAGCCGTGCTACAAACCTGTATGACAGGTGCCGGTTTCATGGGATCCCCGAACTTGCTCCCCCCCAAACACCCCCAGCCCCGGTGTCCTCCGAGGCCGTATTTGGCTCTTCTTTGGGGGAACGCGGGAACAAGGGGCGGGGCAGCAGGGGCAGTGTACTTTGTACGTGGTCCAGAAGCCTGGTTATAAATAGCCCACAAAAGCCATGGTTACAAGTGGGTGAACGCCAGGCTTACTTGCTGAGTGGACGGCCCAAAAAAGTCCGAACTTTACATTTGCTCAAGAAAATTTATCAAGCTCACGAACTCAGGAAGTGAGGTAGCCACTCACCTGACGTAGCCTGCATCGCATCCGCATCTGCATCCTATGAGAAGCCTCCGTTGCCGCCAGGCGTCGCCCGAGAAGTCCGTCACCATGGGGTGCCGATGTGCCTTCACAAAGGCCTCGATGTCCTATCGCTGGCGTGGATTCAGCACATGTCGAGACTCCGGGTACCTGAACCCAGGCTTTGGTTGCCAAGGAAACACCAGTTGGAATTCGGATGGGGGACCTTCCATTTCCATTCCCTCCAGGGATCCTTCGGAATCTAGAAAACCTCCGGGAACCCAGGGGATCCCAGGGGAAAACGGATCCGGTGTTTGGAAAGAACCATGGTTGAAAAAAATGGGGAATCAACCCCTAGATGTTTACCAACAGATCTGCCCAATGAGCGTCGACTCCGGATAAAGTGAGAGTCGCCTCTGCGTGCAAATGAGTGTGTGCAACCTGAAAGCTTAAGAAAAGAAGTGCCCTGGATCCTCCAGTCTTAAGTCCCCTGGGAAAAATTGAAACATTTCCAGTAGTGACACAAGGTGAGAAACAGAAATGGCCCCGAATGGTTTGTGTCAGAAAGATTCTTCCCAGCCCCATGTCAGCGAAAGACGTGCTGACGCCAGAAAACCAACCCAAAACGATCAACACACGCAACACATGGGTGTGTCCAAAATAAGGGATCCTAACCCAGGTTACTGTTGGTTTCCTTCAAACCAAATTTATGAGCCACAGTCAAAACTGAACGACTGTGAGCCTGTCCGCCCACCCGGAGGCCTGCGCGCTGTTCAGGTCGCCGGTGAAAAGGGCACTCTGCTCGTCATGGGGGAAGAACATCTTGACGGAAGGCATGGATGCCTCGAAGGCGGGCACCCTCCCTCCCACTAAGACCCCCTGTCAGGTGCCATGCTAGTGGGAGGGAGAGTAAACAAAAACGATTGTTCACTGCGCCTCAGTTGCGGAGTGGCCAAAACAAACCAAACCGATTGCTTGCGACTAACATGGGCGTCCTAGAAAGGGTGACGTCCAGAAACTCAGAGAGTCAGTTGCTACGACCCCAACATGGTGAATTCCAATCCCCATGACCACTGCCTAAAACTTCATCTCCCATTACCATGACAACGTGCGTTTGACTCTGACGGCCGTAGTGTTCGGGCTCAGTACTGTTTTTCAGTTAATGCGTTTGTTTGTGGCAAAACTGCGCGTAGCAAACTGACACGAAACCAAGCATTTAGAGGGCCCTAGTTTGACCCAGCCCCTCCCTATGCCCCAAGGAATTCCATATTTGATCATTTGATCCCAGTACTCGTAGGGGTTCATATACCCCAACTGGTGCGAAACGGACAAAAGGTCCGTCAGCTTGGCATGGGCATGCGCTGAGCCGCGCCTGGTTCAAGAGACAGCATGTCTGGATGTCTTTGTTGAGGGAACACCCTTGTGGTTGGACTTGACGGCAAACTAAACAGCGCATCATGTTATTGGACAGATCGCAAATGTTACCTCCCTTTTGCAGAAACTGTTTTTGATGCTTTCTTTCGCAAAGCCAAGAAGAGGCCAAGCTCATTGGTGCCAATGAGAACCAAGAGGGAAGTGACCAGTTTGGGAGTTTGGTCGGGTTTAAGGCCAGGATTGCGTTCTTGACACCATGCAAAAGGGCCCCCCCCCCTGGATCCAGAGGTCTCCCCTTGAGCATGCCGTTGTTGGGCTACGCCGGCTACGCCGGCTACGGGATTACCAAAACCTTCTTGGATGGCCTAGGGCCATCCTAAATCGGAAAACGGCAAACCAATCTAAACTAGGTCCTCCAGTAGAGAGGTCAGAATAAGGGTACCGGTTCTTTTTTCCGTCGTCTATAGTAGGGGAACCCTCCCCAAAAAAAGAAACGGTACAAGGGCTCTGGGGGCTACTTCTGTGAATGTCAAAGGCTTGGAACAGCCCAGGGCAGGGGATCCGATCCCCCCGTTTCGGGGGTCATCTTCTAGCAGCCCAAAAGGGTGGCCCAGACGGCCCTGACTCCGCAGCCCAAAAACCGATTGAGAAGCCAAAGAGATTCATAGAAGATACTCTGACCACCCCAAACAGAGTTGAACCCTAAGTCTGGGATCTAAATCTGCTCATTCAAGATCCAATGACAAAGGGTCAACGGCAAAGTTGACCCAGAGCAACTGCTGAACCAAGATGAATCCCGGACTGCCCCTTCCTGCCTCATGCTTTGCAGCAACCTCTGGGGCGGTGCTGTAGGCGAACATAACGTCCTGGGGCTCGCAGGGCCTACAAGTACAGCAGCACAAGAACCCCAGGAGAGACTGAGGCATAGGTCAGTGGACATAGAAGCAAAACCAAACAATTGTCCCCTAGTGGGGACTAAGTAGAGGATGTGTCACCAAGTTGGCAACCATGTTGCCCCACTAGCACCACATGTCGTTTGCCCGTCCAAGGGAGGGCCAAAGTTCCAAGAACACCTCACCATCTTGCAGTTGACTCGAGGGCTTGCAGCCTGGAAGCCGTGGCAAAAGGAAAGCCGCCCTTCCGGAACAAAACTCGGCAACCAGAAGATGATGTTTGGAGTCTGGAGGACTGCTGCGCATAAACACCGCAGAGGCCAACAAGGGAGCATCTGAGCATCTCTGCTCCCAAGTGTGCGCGCAAAACACCCATTTTGCTTGTCTCCGCATGCGGGTTTGCCAGAGGGTATTGGGCCACTGACAGGAGCAACAGTGCAGCGACGTGCGACGACCATGCTGCCAGTGAGACGTTCAATTCAAAATAACGAAGCACGATCACACGGGACACTCTGATGCGCAACGCGCAGGGTATGCGACACATTCCTTCCGGTGTCAAGCTTGTGCTCGCCGTTTCAGTGGCGAATCACTCATGTGGAACTCCTCTACATTCCTGGTATAGGGTCTCCGAACTTGACACTACAACAAAAAGGAGACATACAAAACAGAAAGGGCACGTTTCTGGATGCGCACCCCTTGCACGGCTTCGGTCACGGCAATTGATGTCGAGACTTGCACCATGCACGCCGCACTGTGTGCGTATAAGCACTAAGCGCCCGACAATCATTGAAGCCACGTCGGGATAACTGGCACACAATTGAAAAACAACAAACACAGCACTGTTGTTGAAGTGCGATAGAGGGCAACGTCAATGTAAACCATGTCCTTACAGAGCTTCTGGTAGCTTAGCTCCCGACTTCTCCAAGCACCAGTTACTTTGGGAGGATCCCAACGAACACCTGACTCCAAGCCATGAGTCTTTGGCCGGCCTGGCCAACCGAGGGACGCCCATGCTGGGTTTGCCAGGAGGGCCCCGCAAACGAACGTTCGGCAGCAACATGTGCTTTGTTTGGACCCTGGTGCCGAGTGGTTGTTCCGCCTTTGAGAGGGACTTGTTCAAAAGCAGGTGGACGTATCTGTTGATTGTTTGCTGGATTTCGTGCAGTGTGCTAGGGGTCTTGGTTGTTTGCCTGAAGGAACTATGTGATATTTGCAACACTGCTTGGTAAGTTGTCACAGGACGCGGCAGCTAAGACTCGCCCCAACAAGGACATCTAAATCTAAGGACATGTCATTTGTCAGTTCGCAGCTCGACCCAGGATGAAACGATCTTCTATCATCCGCCGTTGGGTCCTGGGTGGTTCTGGTAAAGGGGAGTCCGGGATTAATAAACTCTTGGTTGAACCATCGGGGGTGTCCGTGTTGGGAGCAAAGGCATAAATGTCCTTTTTGGGACAATAGATGGCCCTGGTAGTTGATTGAACGACCAGGTAAACCGGGGCCCTCTATTTTTCGACCAAATCCATCAAAAAGGACACCTATGGTTGGGAGTCCTTCATTCCAATAACAGGGCATCTGTTTTTTTTCTGCCAAGGCAAGATCTGTCCGACGAAAGGAGGGTGGAAGGTGAGCATCGAAGCGGTTCCGTTCCACATTCCTATGCCCAAGTTCCAATCCCATCTGCAAAATTTTACACTGGCTGCCCTCAGATCCCCGCTCAAAGCTTAACTTTTAGTGGGTTAAATGGAAACTGCCACTAAACACTGAAAGGTCAAAAAGCTAAGGAACCGAATGGCCTTCGGGAGCCACCAAGCACAAACACATCCGAAAAAGCCGATGTGTTTGGCATCCCCAAGGAATGGACCTTCATGGTGAGCTCGTTTTACCCTCAGGTGAGCTCGAAAGAAGTTATGCAGATCCCATCAGTTCAATCAACTTAGGGCTCCATTGCTCGAGTTTGGTGAGATACAAGGCACCAGGGCTTGACGAAAAACGATCTTGGGTCCACGATCTTCGACGTGGTACCACAGTGGGCAAGACGCCGGTCTATTCTCCGCCATCGCGTTTCAAAAAGGCCTGACCCAAAATGGGTGATTTTCCATCCCGTGGGCGGGAGGGGAGTGAACCCCAGGGCATCCCCTTGTGGCTTTCTTCGTTGCAAACGCAATTTTGTTCAGTTCTTTGGCACCCGGGATTGCGCTACATTCTGGTTCAAATGATCATGCAAAATGAGGGAATGATTGAAGCCAAGGGTTAGCATGCAAATCGCACTCTCAGCTGGCTCAAGGCCAAGAAAACGTTGGCATCGTTGGCTGCTCAATTGTTTGCCAGTCATTGGCTCACAAGCCTCGCTGGTGACAGTGAGACTGCGCCGCCTGTATCCGAGGTTTGCCGAAAGACTTTCCTCGGCAACTTGGCAAATGGGGTCGCGAGTCGAATCGAGGGTTTGGACAAGTGCCAACTACTACACCCCCCGTTCACTTCCGCTTGGAACAAATAACAATTTGCTGTGGAGAGTGGCTGCCTAGCAAAAATGTGCAAGGAGCAAAAGCACAACTGGCTGAGTTGTGGCTGAATGTTTCCCAAGCCTGCAGCACCATATTCCTCCATGGGGCGTGTCTCACATCCGGGATCACATCCAAACAGTTTTCGAAACAAAACGACACCTGTTCACAGGGTTCCTCTAGAGGTGTGAAGGGAAGGCCAGTTCTTGTCCCATGTCTTTCAATGAGGGGCTTTGTGCATCGGTGCATCGGCAACACAAGCCTTCACCGGCAGGCCTTGTTGGATGGTTGGTTGCTTGGTTGTATGCTTAGGAGTGGCTAGATATGAAACAGATTCTGATTTTTTGTTGTGGGTCCAGCCCTGTCGAATATTAAAACAGTACTGACATATTAGTAAAAAGGACCAGGGGGAAGCACTGGTGAAATCTACAAAAAGCGCATCCAGACCATGCTCTAGGTTTTGGTTTCCCTCTAAACCAAGTCCAACAAGGGTGCCCTAAAGCCACATCCACATCATCTCCGGGCGGCAAATATTCGTCATTCTGTGAGCGACGATGGGGACGATCAAGGCTGCTGTCGTTCCGCACAACTCCCGCATTTTGAAGGGCCCGATGCAGCTGCCTGACAGTTTGGACAACCTACAGCTGCGCGCCCTCAAGGAGCCAACAAGTTTGTCTTTGAACCAGTTGGTATCAAAGTTTAAACATCCAAAGTGTCAGCAGGTGTCTGGCCAGAATCGTCGAGTTGTTTCCATGTGCTGGCCCTTTGGCAACTTCGTCGGTTGGGCGTCTTGATTTTGAAGCCGCGCATTGTCGCTAGCACCTTGCAATGATATGCAAACACCAGGCTATAAGCGCCTGCGACATGTACCTCTCCCGCTCTGTGTCCCTGGACAGCAGTCTTGCAGTATGAGTGTTGCAGTAGACGCCCAAGTTTGAACAACCCTCCGTTTGGTTCATGAATATTCGCAACCCTGGCAGCTGAGGAGAGAGCGTCCGCAAAAGTCAGGGATCCAGCTTCAAATCGAAGCCCTGATATTCGAACAGGGGTCTCCTCGGTGAAGAGTATCTAAATTTAGCACAGCATTCAACCGTTGGATAGGGCTCCCCATACGTCCCTCTAGTCACCCTGCAAGGGAAACTCACTTGGAATTCGCCCACAGGGTGATGCTGAAAACCACTCGAACTCAAGGGAAATATGAGGAGCCCTGTTTGGACTTTCCGGTGGCTGCGCGAAAAGCAAAGTCTAAGCAAAGTGCAAGGAAACGCCAGTCCGGCCAGAGGACGCTGCGCAATGCTTCGACACTGCCAGGTAAAACCGAGAAAACCCTCCTTGGCAGAGGAGGGGAGTTTGTGGCCTTGCCCGTCAGGTCAGTCTTGCTGAACTAGACGAATGTGGGGCACAACAACAAGTACTACTCGACCTCAGTTCAGCCCATCTGTTTGTGAGCCAGTGAAAGACTAAAAGGTGTGAACCTGCATGCTTCCAATGGATGAATTGGGACCCCTTCTATGAAGGTCGTCCTGTCATCACCTCGACGTAGTAGAGGGTAGGGATGCCACCGAACATTGGAAGCTGGACTCGAGGATGGGGCCGCTGGGTGCCGAAACTAGGGATCCGGATTCCGGACCTAATCTCTACCGCGTAGTGGGGCACCTCCAGAAGGGAAGCCACGTACTCCATCTATATCCATCCTGAATAATAAGGATCTTGCAGATTTACCTTGACGAACTCAGCCAAGCCTTGCTGCTTTTTGTTCAATCTGCTAGCGCTGCAACACCCGAACAAAACACGTCAACCGCCGAGCAGGGAATGAGCTCATGCGGGCGAGCGCCTGATCTCCTTGATCACATGCTTGAGGTCTGACTGCATGACCAGTTGGTCAATTGCCCGCGCCGAGCCCTTGCACCGAAGAATGCCATTGGTAAACTCGTCCAATGTGACCTGCAGGGAAAAGAGCCGGTTAAATTGAGAAAACATAACTATTCCCACCCCTTTGTGGCTTTCTTCAAAGGGCTATTTAGCTTTGGGCTTTGGCAGCAAAATGTGGTACTTGGGCAGTTCCACATGTCCCGTGTTGAATTGCTCATGGTTCTCTGGGTAGGAAGGCACTGCATGGGGACTGCGTGATCAATGGTGGTCACGTGCAACACTCAACGCCCAGGGAGACAGTAATTGCCGTTGAAGGAAGCATATACTCATGATTTGAGAGGAAATGCCGGTCACCCGGTCGCCCGATCGAATTTTGCCACTTCGGCCCGCCTCTCCATCCCCGTTATCAAGAATGTGGAAAAGGGCCGTGCCCTCCTGAACGTCCACGTCCAAAGTCTGGAAATAAGCCTTCACCTTTGGATCTGCGAGCCTGGGCGCAAGGGCCAACCACAAGAACGCATCTGCGAGACCAAGTCGACCAAATGCCCGCCTACGCGCCGCAACGCGCATCTCAACACATTTGGGGCTGTGCAAACG